ATATATATATATATATATATATATATATATATATATATATATATATATATATATATATATATATATATATATATATATATATATATATATATATATATATATATATATATATATATATATATATATATATATATATATATATATATATATATATATATATATATATATATATATATATATATATATATATATATATATATATATAGTATTTTAATTTTATTTAGATTTAATAAATTTATTTTATTTAGTTTTAACTGTGTTACGTTTTATTATTATTATTTTTAATGACTTTTATGGCAAATTACAGTAAAAAAAAGAAGACAAAACAAAATGATATTTCAAATTAAAAAAAATTTCAAAAAGTATAAATAATATCAACTTAAGCACATACAATGAGAAAAAACAAGCAAAAATATATATATATACCAACATATATAATATAATATACAATAACATACCAACAAATAAAAAGGTAATAATAATGTGGCTTAACAAAAACTACAATTGTACAATCTTATAAGCACACAATACACTCTACTTTGCACTTAGGAAAGTAAAAAAAAAAAAAAAAATTCTGGAACAAGGACTTGGTCTGTATTTTACAATAAAACATGTTTTTGGATATATTTCCTAAATGGGTCCCAAATTAGTCTAAAATAATCTAAATTTGGTTAGATGAACCTCTAGACAGTCTAATTTTTAACAACTTTACAAAGGAGAGGACCTCACGGATCCACCGTGTTGGGGTTGGAGGTCAGGAGCACAATAAAAGCTATGCAATCAGATTGTATTTTTGTAAGATTATATGGCATAGGCAAAATCCTAAAAATGGCAATAAGTGGGCTAGGGAAGATAGACATACCCAAAAAAGCAGATATAGTTTTAAAAATAGTATCCCAAAAGTAGTTAAGCTTTATACAAGACATATGCGCATGAGTGGCTGGGGTGGAATTACAGCGATAACAGGCCTGATCTATATGCTGAAAGTGCTTTGAGAGATTTTGGTTTGTCCAGGTGTACATGATGCACAATTTTCTACTGCAGAAGTCCATGTCACAGACAGAGGACTTGTGAATTGTGTATAAGACTGATTCCCAATCCTCATCTGAAATTGTGATTCCCGGATCGTCTTCCCACACAGATTTGTTTTGGGAATGGGATGTATCAGTTGGTGCCATAATTTTATATTGCGTTAATATGTTTTATTATGTTTCGCTAGCTAAAAGCAATCTACTCACAGGAGGGGGTAGAAATCAGGGGCTGTGCGATTTACTTCCACAAGGAAGTTGAAATTGGGGGGCAAGTAATTAGAGCTGTAAAGCTTTACTTTTCGATTGTAGGTGAAAAATCGAATCTGTTGGAGACGTCCAACAGATTAATAGGTACCGAAAAAGTCCACAGAGGGGGGTGATCATTAGAATGGGGAAGTCCTAGAGTAAAATGAGAAAATATGATACACCTGTGTTTTGAAATATGGAAAAACTGTAACTGTACAATTTAAAGATACATTTAAATACATTTAGATCATTTACTTTAATCACTACTATTGGAATGTGAAGAGACTTTCAACCAGCACAACAAAAAATGTTTCTGAAGACAATCACCTACTGCACCTTTAAATAACAAAGAGCACAAGTATCTGTGTGTATGCAATATTCCATTTTTTTTTTTTTTTTGCATTTGTCAGATTTAAATGCGCGAAGGGAACAGAGGATGTCTTGTCTCTGTTAGTGTGGCTATTATCATACAGACAGCGTAATTCATATTTTATTATGCTCTTAGCATGAACTGCAATTGTAGGCATGCAGGTTAGTGCATGTGAGTCTGCATATTGCTAAATGTTAAATAGATCTATATTATAAGCAATTATAGTCATATATCAGATAACAGAATCGCTAGAATACAGTAGGTGGTCTGAAATGAATGACTGTGTGTGAATTTGCTCACATGTGTCTTGGGTTATGAAATTGTCAGTGCAAATATCTAAGTGTGTGTGTGTGTGTGTGTGATTGGCATGGATACAAGCAGCTGTGCTTCTATGGGGAACACAAAGGAAACAAGACTGTCTCTATAAGTGTTTGTGTGCGTGTGCATCCGTGTGTGTGTCTTTCTGACCCATCTAAGCATTTGTAGACTATAAATGTGGACTATGTGGATTATGAAGTACCTTAGGGGGAAAAAAAGTATCTAATCAGTGTCAGATAATTTGGGAACAGTGTTAAATGTTTGGTAAAATAGGATAAAAAGTTATTTAAAAAGTTTAAAAAAGTCAAGTATACTGTTAAACACACAAAAAAAAGATAATTAGAAAAATGTTGAAAACTGATATGCATAGTAGGAAAAACAAAAGGATAGCAGTTTCCAACATTTTTCTAAATATCGTCTGTTGTGTTCAACATAGGAAATAGACTCAAAGTTCAGCAACAGGTGGAGAATGACTAAATGATGACAACATTTTCATTTTGGGGTCTTTAAGTGTAAGAAATGAATGAACAGCATAGTCAATGTGTAAATTAGATGCGTCTTACCTTTCTGGTTGTGGTTTTCCGCCTCATCAGTTTTAGTGGATTTGTAATATGTGATTCCTCGGATGAGTCCTGGCTGGTTCTGTGATGTTTTGGTTTTACCGGGCTGCTCTGTTTGCTCTGTTTTACTGGGTTTGTTTGGTTTTGTGGTCTCTTTTTTAGGCTTGGTTGGCTTTTCCTTCACTTGCTTTGGAGGAGGTTTCCCTTTTTCAGGACTCTTTGCTGGAAACTTTGACGCATCTTTGATATTTGTCCCTAATGTGTCCTGCAAACACAACAACATATCCAACTCCACAGATGTTAGAGATCTCATCCAAAAAACACACGGTCAATGCTGAATTTTTCTCATAATATGCAGTACAGCATCAAATTAAATATCCTGTCTCCTTAAACTAGGGGTAGCCAAACTTTTTCTTATAAAGGGCCAAACACTAAACTTGATTGAGGGCTGTGGGCCAAACTTAAACATACCAAACTGTATTACATTAAATTTGCCATGGGTAGGCCGCTGATTTATAGCCCATCATTGATTCTGTACTTGTACTTACTTGAGTAAATGTGTGTACATTTATATTTGTTCAGTTTTTAAATTAATTACAGTAATATTATTGACTAATATAAAACTATTCATATGATTTATTTACAATACAGTTTGTAAAGTAATATTTTCTGTCTTTTAGTAGAGATATTATTTGAGAGACTTGCTTTGTTTACCAAATTAAGTGGATCTAATTGAATTTGCACTGTAAACATTAAATAAAAGTTAAAAAGGTATTATTTTTATTTCATATTAAGGTTTTAGTTATGATTCTCCCAAAATAATTCTGGATAAACCTGCAGATTTTTAACACAATTCTGCGCAGAAATAGCAAAAAATGTCCGCAGATTCCGTCTGGCCCTAGCCATGGGTACTTTATAATTTATTTGTGTATTGTTGAGAAATACTTAGAAAACGTTGCCTTAAAACATACTCAATAAATATGCAGGATAATTTTATATTTTATAATGAACATTTTATAATGAACTTATTTTAGTAAAAACATAAACAATCTCGGACTAGGGGGGGCCAAGTTGGAAAACTCACTCCGGTCCCCCGGGCTCTGTGCTGGTTGGGGAAATTCCAGATTGAACCAAAACAAACCATTACAATTGGCTAAAGATTGGCTAGCAAAATACGGGACATTGCAACCAGCAGAACCTGGGAATTAAAAAAAAAGATAAACAATCCCATTTATTTATTTTTTTTAGGGGTTTTCATCTTTATTGATAGGACAGTGGAGATATAGAGACAGGAAAGTATGGGGAGCAGAGATAGGGGAAGGATCAGCAAATGACCTCGAGACGGGAATCAAACTCAGGTCGCTGCGAGCACCTCAGTGCTATGTGTCGACGCACTAACCACTAGGCTACTGGCGCCGGCAAACAATCCCATTTATAACACAATGGAGTTCAATGCTGAGTGTACTAGTCGAGCTGATCCTGCTTTTGCCTTGATTTGCTCGCCGATGTCTTGCACATCTATCAGTGACATTGTTTACATTTTAAAAGTCTGATTCATTTACAATGTTTAAATAAAACATTTAATTTTTGTTGGCTTTTTTGTAGCTCCTCAATTAAACAAAGAATCAAAAGGTTATATTCAATTCGAAATGACATCTCTGTCGAAGGCATTCGCCCCAGCCAACTCCCCATCATTTTCCATCTCTTTCCCAGATTCGATGATTGGCCAAACCAAAGGTTACCATGGGCTAACTTTGGCCTGTAGGCCCTACTTTGGGCACCTCTGCAATGCCTTTATGAGAGCCTAATTCCCTCTGATTGGTCCGATGTTATTGGTCTACCAAGTACAGCATGTATCAGAAATTAAATGGTCATTACTAATTTATAAATATTAAATGTAATAGACTACAACTTTTGATGTTAAAGAAACTCTTCACTTTTTAAAATAGGCTCATTTTAACAATCTCTAAGAGTTTTAACGGCTCAGTTTCATAATTTTTAATCCATTCAGCAGATCTCCAGATTTGTTGGGGGAAATTTTAGCTTAGCTTAGCATAGATCATTGTATCGGAGTAGACCGTTAGCATTATACTCCAAAAATATATAAAAAAAGAGAGTTCTTGATAAATTTCCAATTTAAAGGATCTATCAATCTATCATTGTGTATATCGTTGGACCTGGTGCAGCCATGCTACGGGCAGCAAACTTCCTTGATTTTTACGGCAGAATGAGAGTATAGTTCCTTGACATGGCCTAGAAAATAGCAACTTTTCATTTCTTGTTGGTGTTAGTACACACTTTTGTTTTTTTTAATATTTTTGAGTGACGGTGGTGCTTGGTGATAAGCATAAGCACACAGACACACAGCACCAAGCAAGTGACACAGACAACATCTTGCTCTCCCTCTCATTCACACACTCACACATAGACAGCACGAAGCTCTCTCTCTCTCATTTACACACACACACACACACACACACACACACACACACACACACACACACACACACACACACATATAGACAGCAACAAACAAGCTAAACACAGCATCACGTTCTCTCTCATTCACACACAAACATACTCGTGCTCGCTCGCTCAGGAGTCGGGAGCGATATTGTTAGACCACCTGCTCCAGTTCAATTTACACCTAGAGTTACAGACCGCTTCAGCGATTTATTCAGAGAAGCAGACCTTTACTATGATCTTTAATATTACATACAGTTTCCAATTCTTGTTTTATATGGCAAGTTCACCCAAAAATGAAAACTCCGTCATTAACCCATTTGAGTTTCTTTCTTTTGTTGAAAACTGCTATGGATTATTAAAATACTATGGAAGTCAATGGCTGTTTTTTCTTTAGAATATCTTCCTTTGGGTTCAAAATTCAATTCAATTCAATTCAGCTTTATTTGTATAGCGCTTTTACAATGTAGATTGTGTCAAAGCAGCTTCACATAAATGGTCATAGTAACTGGAACAGTGTGGTTCAGTAACTGGAACAGTGTAGTTCAGTTTTTAATGTTTAAGTTCAGTTCAGTTTAGCTCAGTTCAGTGTGATTTAATCATTACTGAGAGTTCAAACACTGAAGAGCCAATTCATCGATGCGTAGCTCTACCAATCCTGAACCATGCGAGGCAGTGGCGACAGCGGAGAGGGAAAAAAAACTTCACCTGAAGAGAAGAGAGTTAGTCATAAAGGTGTAGAACCACTGAAGTTTAAGCAGATGATGAGGACATTTTCATGTTTTGGTGAACTTTCCTTTTAATAAATGGTATGCAGTAAACACTATATACTGAACCATATGCAGTTTTGCATTCATTTGGTGAATTATTTGTCTGAGTATTTTTACCTGTGCTTTGCTTTTAGGGCTCGAGGGGGAGGAGTCTTTCTGCAGCAGCTGAAGGCCCAGATTGGACAGCTCTTTCTTTATGCTCATCATGATGTCAGAGTGATTCTCATATTGCCGCAACTGATTGGTCAGAGTCGCCACACTGTCCCGCACGAAGTCATTCTCTCTGGAGAGGTTACTCTTTATCACCTGGAAGTGGTAAACAACTTTAAATCACTTAACTTTACATAAAGCTGATATGTCCTCACAAAATGATATTGAAAAGTTAAGGATTTGCAATGAAGAATCTTTTATTTGATCAAAAACCAGTGAAATATTATTCCAATTTAAATCAAATGCTAATTTATTTGTTACATACAGAGTCATGCACAGTAGGGCTGCATGATATTGGAAAAACTGATATTGCAATGTTTTGTTTTTCTGCAATAAATATTGCGATGTGCAATTTCAGAAGATGGTTTGAATAGCTCTATTTGATTTTTGGTGGAGTTTTGTCCTGTTTCTAGTTCAAATATATATAAAAAAAATCTTAGACCAAGTAAAAATCTAGTTTAGTTTTTAGCGTCAAAAGAAATAAATAAAAATGAAAAGTTTTTTGCTTGTTTTAAGGAAAATATCTCCCAGTGGGGTAAATGAAATAATCGTTTTCACTTTGAAATGTAGATATTTTTACTAGACAAAAATTCAAAGAATAGTTTTTTTTGTTTTTGCATAAATCATATAAATTCCATATAAATAAAGTGACCAAATATAACTCTGTAGCTCCAGTTTAACTATAATCCAGACTCAACATTGCATATCTTTGCGATCTGACTATTGTGGATGCGCACGCTGCGATATTGATGCTGAAACGATTTATTGTGCAACCCTATGCACAGTATGATATGCAGTTAAATGCTTACATAACCATTCGTGACCTTTAAAATAATCACAACAATTACCAAAATAATAATAATAATAACAATAAGAATCTAAGTGGAGAAATAGAAGTTAACAATACAAAATAAATGCAAATATAAACTATTAAAAGTCTTTCAATATAGAGTACATGGTTTAAATAAAAAAGATAAAAATTTTAATTAAATAAAAAAATCTACGGTTTAATATTTTAATGTTTTGAAATTAAATTTACACAATATTAACAATATTTTTTTTTCTACATGACATGTCAAATTCCTTCATAAATCATTGATTTGGTGCTAAAAATATTTATGTTTTATAAACATTAATTGCAGAAGAAATAACACAAATCTTAAACAACATTCTAAATGTATTTACTGTTATTTGCAATCAATCTTACCATGAAATATTATTGCAATTTTACAACAACTGTTTACTTTTTTAATATACTTTGAAATAAAATCTATACCTGTTATTTTGAGCATTACATGTCACATTCCTTCATAAACCATTGATTTGGTGCTTTATATATATATATATATATATATATATATATATATATATATATATATATATATATATATATATATATATATATATATATATATATATATATATATATATATATATATATATATATATATATATATATATATATATCTATATATATATATATAAAAAACAAACAATAAAACAATTGTTTAATATATATATATATATATATATATATATATTTTTTTATATATATATATTTTTTTCTTTTTTTTTGTATCTATTTTATTCTTTAAATCAAAAAAAAAAAAAAATTTATTTTTTTAAATTATATAAAGATATAAAAAAAAAAAAAATGTAAAAAAATGAAAAAATCTATGTATTTTCACTATTGTTCTCTCTTTATATGACTGAGTCACTCTATAAAAACATACAGAAATTTTTTGTGGTTCCTATTTCTCTCTCTCTCTCTCTGACAGTGAGAGAGATTTAAATATAAATATAAACAGAGAACGTAAGAGTGACCGTTACATGTGTGTGTGTGTCTGTGTGTGTATA